TTAAATCTTAATTTATGCTTCTAATTTCAAATTCTTTTACTGCGTGCACGGTCACTTGTTGTTGTTGTTAAGTGCTGTCGAGTCGGTTCCGACCCATAGCGACCCTGTACAGGGTTTCAGAGGGTGTAAATCTTTACAGGAGTAGAAAGCCTCATCTTTCTCTTGTGGAGTGGCTGGTAGTTTCGAACCGCTGACCTTAAGGTTCGCAGCCCGATTTGTAACCACTATGCTACTAGAGCACGGTCACTTAGTCTCATTTTAAAGGTTCTATCCCATTCAAATCTACCAGCCGCTCCTTGGAAACCCTATACAGACCAACTCTGAGTTGGAACTGACTCAGCAGCACTTAGCAACAATCCCTCTCCAGTGCTGAAGAGCATGTTTTCCAACTGAGTTCACTTACACTGTCTCAAAGAGACAGATTGAGCCCCTAGTTGTTTCTTCTACTCAGGAGATTTAAAAAAGAGAATTTAAAATTTATCCCACACAAAACTGCCGAGAGAATCTTATAGCACTTTCTGATTCTGTGTGAAAGCACAGCATAGTAAATGGCCTACATGAATCTTAGAATCCACAGAGATTTATACTGTTCTAAAATACATCTCTTGCAGTCATAAAAGAATGACCTGTTTAAATACAAGTTCATTTTTTCATTCTCCAAAGGTTTGCAACTTTACAGTCACTTTAATTAAAACCTCACCATCATTCCAATATTAGAACAAAAAAGAAAATTGTGTTTCTAAATTTAAAATGATGGCAGTCTTTAACTCTTACAAGCTTTCCACAGGCAGAATTAAAAACAAAACAAAAAACATATAAACTAAGAATCACCATTCTTTTAAGACGAGAAGTTCCCTTAGCTTTTACTGGCTAAAGTATAAAACCTGCTGCCATTGAATTGATTCTTACAGCGACCCCGTGTGTTCAAGGTAGAAAGAATTGCTGCATATAACCTGAAATATTTTGAAGGTGTGATCCCTTCTATAATCCATTAACGAAAGCTTCATTTGTCCAAAAGAATACAGGCATACCTTGTTTTAGTGCATTTCCAGGTATTACACTTTTTACAAATTGACGGTTTGTGGTAACTCTGTGTTCTGCAAGTCTATCGGCACCATTTCTCCAGCAGCATGTGCTCAATTCGTGTCTCTGTGTCCCATCCCATTCTGGTAATTCTTGCAATATTTCAAACTTGTTCTTAATGATATTGCATACTTCAAAGACTACAGTCTAGTGTTATTACCACCTTTCTATGCACTGGGAACCCAAAACATTCATGTGAGACTTGCTTTATTGTGTTTGTCTGGAACTGAACCTGCAATATCTCTAAAGTAACCTGTACCTCATTTCTGTATTCATCACCTCAAAAGGCTTTATTTGTATAAAGAAGTTAAAAGGTTTTATAAGGAACATGTTTCTTCTAGGTTGCCGCTTCTTATTCATGGTCTCCAGGTTAACTAAACCCGGAAGTTCTCACAGGAGAGCGCATCTTCAGCCAGGAACTGCACACAGGTAGTGGAGAATACATGGATAAAAACATTAACGTGAAGAAAAAAGTTACTGTGACCTTCCCCCATAATGAAATGAGTTCCTTTATGTGGCCTTTCACATTGGTACTTTAGAAAAACAGCTTGAGATTTTATCCCTTAACTCTTAAATTACCTTTTCACTGATTTCTACACCAAAGGATATATTACTTTTGTCCAGGTTGATTGATATTTCCTGTGTAAACTGAAAACATGTAGGTTTGATACTTTTTTGTCTAGCCCTGGACTAGAGTCTAGTCCTATGATGGTTATGTACCTTGCAGGGATTGGTCAGTAAACAATGCAAATCATGTTATCTACAATCTGTTATGCAAATGAAGTGACTGTGGAACACCCACAGGAGGAGCCTAGTGTTTTGAAACTGACAAGGATACATTACACATAGATGCAAGAAGCAGAAAGAAAAAAGGAGGAGGCAAAGAACCCTCTAAAAGTGCTGTAACACAGGTCAAGGCTTTTAACAATGAAGATGGAAACAGACTCAGAGGGGCCCAATAGGCAAGTTGGTGGCGACAGACTCATGACCAAGAGACCTATCCTACACTGAAGGGAGGGATGCGCTCTCCTCTTTGAGGGCCTCTTCCAGTCTTGGCCTATGTGCTTCCAAGATCTTGCAGTGTATGTAGCCTGTTGATATTGATCCTGAGTTGTACCCCATTACTTCCTTAATAAACCATTTAACAATAAGTATGGTCTGAGTTCTGTCTGACCAGTGCAACAGATCATTAAACCCTGAAGTAGGGAATTCCAGGGAAGGAACAGCTGATGTCAGAATTGGTAAAAAGGCTGGAGGGTAAACGCATGTCTGAATTCCACCTCACAGGAATCAGCTTAAGAATGATCTTGGTCACTATCCCTCCATAAAGTTAGACAGGTTCTGACACTGCTACTCTTATTTACATTTTGCACCCCAAAAGCAGCTTTTAGGAAACCCACCATGTTCTAATACAACCACATAAAAACACTTCAAATTTAACTTTTGTATTTGATGCCCGATAAGGAATTCTGTACTTTTCTCTGTAATTGGTTGAGTATATTTAAATACAGGTACACGTTGCTTAACATCCATCTATGGGCTACCAGCAACTCGTTTTGAGTTTGGAGCCCCACTTCTGGCCAGTAGCTGCATGTGGCTCAGATGCTACCCAGTCTGTGGTGATTGAGGCCCAAGCCCAAACCCTCACCCGGCTCCCTTTGGTTCCCATGACTTGGCAGACCTAGTTGCCTCATTCTGCCTGGTGTGGTCTTGTAGAGCCCTGATGGAAATGCATGCACCTCAGTCACCCTCAGCCCCCTTGTCTCCGCCCCAGGGCTGGTTTTCCCTGTATCTGGCTTAGCACAGAAGCGGATGACAGCTGGGCAGGACTGGAGGAGGGTTCACCTGTGGAGTCCACTTCGAGAACTGCCTGGGCCACCTGCCTAGTAGGACTCCGCAGAGGAGTCATCTCAGGAGTATGTAGCAAGACCTGTCTGAGCCACGAACCAGCAACACAGCAGCCCCCAAGCTAGCGCACCCAGGAGTCCCAGGGACACAGGTGTTCATACAATGGCTAAATCACATAATGTCCTAATTCACAGCATGTGATACAGTATGAGAGGACTCCACGCGATAAGCACTGGACTGCAAACTACAAAGTTCACGGTTCAAGCCTTCCAGCTGCTCCATGAGAGAAACACGAAGTTTTCTGCTCTCGTGAAGAATTAAAACCTCAGAAACCCTTTATGGGGTTACTGTTGAGTTGGAACCAATTTGACTCAGAAACCCTAAACAGGGTTGCTATGAGCCGGAACCGACTTGAGGGCACTTCACAACAAGAACAACAACAATGTGGACATTGTGCAAACAATCCTTTACTTGTAATTTACAAAACAAAGAAAGAACAATGGTTGAGCCATGGAAAGTTCCATCCTAAAGAAGCAGACTTACCTTAAAAAAAAAAAAGAGGAAGTAAAGGAGAGTTCACAAGGAAACAATCCTCATTTTAAAAACACTTAAAATAAATGTGTCCCCATCTCATTTTTCACAACCTATTGGTGACACTAAATGGTTTCACTTGCTTAGTCAGGACAAGCTGTTTACATTGGATACATGGTTTCATTATATCCTGTGGAGAAACAGAGCAGCTGAGTTCTGATCTAGCTTTACAATTTGCTTTTCAACCTCTGCTTCCAGTTATCTAAATCAGCAACCTACTTTAACTCAGAGATGTTTAAGTACTGTTATTGTTAGGTGCTGCTGAGTTGATTCCGACCCATAGCGACCCTGTTTAGGGTTTCCTAGGAGCAGCTAGTGAGCTTGACCTGCCAACCTTGCAGTTCAAACAGCTTTGCAGTCCGATGCATTAACCCACAGCGCAACACCAGTGTACCAAAAGGCCAGACATGAATCAAGAGACACACATTTTTTTAAAAAGACATATTTATTATGCTAAAGAACAGATTTTATTTTTTCATTTCCCCAAACACACTAAAACAGTACACAGCACAGTAATTCAGCATAAGATATAAACTTATATATATGCAATCAGCAATCCCAGAAATGGTTGTTTTAAGTCTTGCTTTGGGACTCCTTAAAAACTTACACACAAGAATGACTCTTTAAATGGCCTTTTATCAAAGTTATCCACAAGCAATAAAAGGAGTTACTTCAGAAAAATCTTAGTATAAAAGAGCTCAGTCCCATGACACTGCAAACATTCTAGAATGAAAATCCTTGATTTGCTTGCCTGGTTGCCTCTCTGTAAACAGAATGACAGCAAATATTATCAAGCTCATTTTCTTTTAAGGTAATATTGCTAGGATTCCTAGTTTGAGAAAGGACTATTACAAAGGTAAATTTAATATTGCAACTTTCACCTTACAGTCGCCATTTAAATAGTTTCAAGTGGGAAAAAAAGGGGGCATGGAGAGGGGATGTGAGAAGAGAAATCCGATTGTCCTGCAGAGTGAAATTATTCTACAAGACATGGAAATGGTATCAGTTTACCATGAGCTCAGCAAAGCTTTTAGGAGGAGGGTTGACTTCTACAAATATCCACTTCTGTTAGATAATCAAAGGCAGGCTGAGGAGCAATATCTTGCCAGTAGCCCTTTAGAACAGGTGTCCACGACAGAGGAAGAACTTTTACGTTAAGCATGGTTCTAATCTGGTATTTATAGAGGATCTATCAATATTCTGAAATGGTTTCCCAATTCTGGATGCCCTTCAAGCACAATTTAAAAGATTCTCAGAGTTTTTCTTCTGTTATCAGTCAGCTTTTTGTGTATATTTAAATTCCACCAGCTTTGGAATTTAAATTGGCCTAACCATATAACCAGAGAGCTACCTGAGGCTACACGGTTTGCATCTAGACGTAATGCAGAGGGAATCATTCTAAGACAACTCTTAAAATTAATCTTGCTATCTTTATTGTTCTGCTTGTACCTTAACTATAGTATACCAGATTTGCTAATTCAGAAGCTCCTAGAGCCAGTTACCCCAGTCTGCAGACTGTTTGGTACTCTGTTTACACTTGAGTGCGTTTTCTTGTCCTCTACTGTCTGCTCTGAAAACATGGGCTTTAAGAAATCAAGGAAAACATCTCTTGTCTCATCATGTGGGAGGACGTCACAACATGGGCATAGGATTGCAGAGAGAACGGAGTGCAGAAGAGGCAGTGCAAGGTTCGAGCCAATCCCAAGGAAAGCACTTGGCAGTTCATCCTCAAAAATTCTCAGTCCTAACTGCAGCAAATTCCATTTTTTATAATATGGTACTTGTGGCAGCTGGAGGTGTGCAGACCACACCCAAGGCTCTCCTTGGCAGTCGGTGCCCTCCAGTCCTGTTCCTGGCCCATCCCTCACCAGAGCCTCCGTACTCTGCTCTTCTGTGGGAGCAAGGGACTGAGTCTCGGTCTTATTCAGAGCCACTGCTGAAGTGTTATTTCTTCTGATTGATTCTTGCAAATCTGGAACCTCACTCAGGCAATTTCTCATCTCCAGTGATAACGCCACATCTGGTGAATTTCCACTGACACTGAACGCAGGCTGAGCCACCCAGGAAGGCAGCTCTGACAGGTAAGGATTCTCCTTCTGGGTTCTCTGATCATCAAGTCCGTAGAATGGTTTGTCCAGGCCAGCGCCTCCCTCCCGCTCCATGCTGGCGAGGCAGATGCCAAGGGCCCCTCTTCCATCCCTCATACTTTGTACTCTCTGATTCCAGGGGTTCGAGGACAGGCCTTGGCCACAATCATAGGCAGGTAGTCAGTGGATCTCAATATGAACCTGGAAAAGATAATCACATTTCAATTGCATCCTGAAGATGAGAATCCCACACATCAGATATTTTCTAACAAATCTGACGTTCCAGGCTGTGGTGAAATGAGTTTCTTTGGTTCTTTGGAAAAACTGCTTGAGAGATTTGTACCCTAAATCCTGAGGAGTTACTTTCCCCCTACTTTCCTACCCAGGACTTGTAAATTAGGATGGTCTGACACTTTGCCTTGTCCCGCTCTGCAGCCTGTCCCGAGATTGGTGCACACCTTGCAGGGCTCTTGGGTACAAACTGTCCTGCCTTGAAACTGACCAAGAGGCTGTGCATTTAAGCAGCCTGCCCCACAGGAGAAAGCAGGACAGAAAAGACAGAAGAGATAAGCAAAGATGAGGCAAGGAACCTCCTAAAAGAGCCAAGGGTCAAGGGTCAAGGGCTGTAACACTGAAGACAGCAACAGGTCCAGATGGGCACAGTGGTAGAGCCAGTGGCCGTAGACAGTAGGCCTAAGAGGCACCTGTTCTGAGGGGGCTGAGAAGAACCTGTCCTAAAGGGGCCGAGAGGGACCTAAAGAAGGGGTCTGTGCTGAGGGGGCTGAGAGAAGCTCAAAGGCAGGGGTGGGAACCCTGGTCATTTGGTCTGGCCCTACCAAGATACCACTGTTGTTGATAAGTGCTGTCGAGTCGCTTCTGACTCATAGCGACCCTATACAGGGTTTCCAAGGGAGCGGCTGGTGACTTTGAATCGCCGATCTTTCAGTTCAAACTGACCTTGAGGTCAAGTGCTTATCCTATTGCACCACATCAGGACTACAACATTTTTGTTGTTAAGTGCCGTCGACTCGGTTCCGACCCATAGTGACCCTGTACAGGGTTTCTGAGGCTGTAAATCTTAACAGGAGCAGAAAGCCTCATCTTCCTCCCGCGAGAATGGCTGGTAATTTCAAACTGACGACCTTGAGGTTAGCAGCCCGATTCATAACCACCACGCTACCAGACCTCCTTAGCTCCTACCAAAAACACAGAGGTGGGAGTAAATACATGAAATTATTGTCCCCCATATGTCATGTTAAGGAGCTCTGGTAGCGCAGTGGTTATGAATCAGGCTGTGAACCTCAGGGTCAGCAGTTCGAAACTACCAGCTGTTCCACAGGAGAAAGATGAGGCTTTCTGCTCCCATAAAGATTTACAGCCTCGGAAAGCCTGTACAGAGTCGCTATGAGTTGGAACCAACTCCACGGCACATAACAACAACAACATATATCATGTTGCTGTCAGTTCCAACTTGTGGTTAACAGTCCAGTGCTTATCCATGGTCTGGTATGTCCTCCTTCCACAAAGAGGCCTGCCTCGGGCAGATGCAGCCTGCTCACCAGGTGACACTGGCCTGACCCAGTTAGACAGCTCTGCAGTCTGGGGCTCTTGTCCTCGCACCTGCCCTCACCAAGCTACTGGTGGCCCCAGGGACCTGCCAGTGTGGGGCAGCATGGTGCTAGTAAATTAAAAATATCCAGTCCTCTCTGATCCTGAAAGAAGCTGTCAAGGCAAGTCCCCAAGCTCAGAGTGGCTCTCAAATGAAATCCCATGCTCGTGACAGTCCTGCCCTCAGAGTCCCTCCATCCCTATGCTACTTAAAGGCTAGGAAGCAGAAGTGAGGCAAGCATTCCTAAATGAGGCCACAGTGTCACTGGGGTTCTTTTCCTTTTGGGTAATTTATCTTGTGATCTGTGTAAAGCTGTGCTGGTGGCCCCCAACCCTTGTTCCCTGGAGCCAACAAGGACAACATGGGGAAGGGAGTCTTTAATGAAGCCATGGCTTCCACAAGGCACCAAGGAGAGCCCTATAGTCTGAGGGGATAGGGGTCCCAGGAAAAGCCAGGAGTGGGGAGGTGGTGACAAAGGGGGGTACCTGGTCACTGTCTGAAGGCTGGGGGTCAGAGAGGCCTGTCCTTGGGGCTTCATTGTGGATGATGGCAGGTGAAGGACTGCAACTGTCCCCCCTGTGCAGTCTCCCCTGGCTAGGCGTGGCTTGGACTCTGCTCAAGACTCAGCTGGGAGGGCAGCAGGAAAGTCTTATGGACGGGTGTGTTCACAGGGGGATGTTGCTGATACCCTGGAGTCTGACATCACCGTGAACTGCTCCCACACCGAGCTGCTCCCACACCAAACACTGACCCTGGGGGTTCCATCTAGTGATCACTCAGCATTCATCTGTCCTGATCAAGTCAGCCCTCCACACTGCCTGGCCTCTCCTCCCCAAGTCACCTGCACTCTGGAAGGTCAGGGCCACAGGTGAGACAGCCAGGAGGCTCCCCTGGGTCCCAGCTCTAGGACCTTCCCTGAGGAACTGCCCTGAGCTCCTCAGCTCAGGTGGTCAGGTTGATGTGTTGGATGTGTGAGAAGTGCCCAACTCTCTCCCACAGCCTTTGTGGCAGCACCCTACCCTGTGGATGTCCCGGAGACAATAGCTCTCACTATTCTCCAGAGGACCCAATGGCTGCTAACCGAAAGGTCGGCACTTCAAACCCACCAGCTGATCTGAGAAAGATGTGGCAATCTGCTTGTATAAAAATTACAGTTTCAAAACCCTCTGGAGCAGTTCTGCTCTGTCCTATAGGGTTGCTATGAGAGGAAATCAACTCGACGGCAGAGGGTTGGGTGGAAGCTACAGAGTCCTGGTGGCACAGTGGCTAAGTGCTTGGCTGCTAACCAAAAGGCTGGCAGTTCAAACTCACCAGTCAATCTTCAGCTGAAAAGATCTGGCAATGTGCTTCTGTAAAGATGACAGCCTTGGAAACGGCAAGGTGCAGTTCTATTCTAGCCTACAGGGTCGTTAGGAGGCAGCATTGACTGTGCAGCAGTGGGGAGGGTGGGGAGTCCTTACAACCTTGGAGTTGAGGAGCTCGATCTAACTATGGGGGAGGGGAAGTAATCAAAGAAAAGACTGAGAAATTTGACTACATAAAAATAAACTTCAGTATGGCAAAAACACACCATAAATAGCAAACCAGAAATACATTCAAACCCTTAGTTCAGACAAAAGACAACTCAACAAATACAAAACTCAGAAAAATTCAGAAAAGGATCAACAATCCAAGAGAAAAATGAGCAAAAAGAAAAGCAAATGGATCTTTCTCTCATACACCAGCTCTTCCTTTAAGCTAGGGAGGCCTGACTCTCTGCCAACAAAATATACCCACCTACTATACAGCAGCCACCTGGGGCCCCCTGGACCATTACTTCTCACCTGTTGTTGTTGTTGTTAGGTGCCATCCAGTCATTACTGACTCATAGCGACCTTATGCACAGCAGAACGAAACATGGCCCGATCCTGGGCCAACCTCACTACTGTTGCCACATTACTGTAATCATCTTCCAGCCTCCACCCTGAATTTGTTAGAGTTTTCAAAGAGATCCTTGTCAAGTGGTTAAACTGTATGGCCCAGTAATTCCACTCCTAGCTAGATACCTACGAGAACTGAAAACACTGGCCACACGAAAACGTGTTCGTGAATGTTCCATAGCAGCACGCAATACCATAAAAGCCAAAGGGTGGAAGCAACCCAAGTGTCCAACAACTGATAAATGAATAAACACGGTGTAGTCCATCCACACAATGGAATATTCGTCAGCCATAAGAAGGAATGAAGTACTGACACATGCCACGGTGTGGAAGAACCTTGAAAACATTACATGACATGAGGCACGCCAGTCACAAAGGACTAGGCAGGTATGATCCCGAGTATACAAAACACTTAGAATAAGCAAGTACATATGGGCAGGGAGATAGAGCGGTGTAAGGATTGGGGAGTAGAGGAGTGAGGGTGAGAGTGGAGGCTTCTCTTTTGAGTCATGAGAATGTTCCAAAATGGATGGAGAATGTGGTGAAGGGGGCACAAATCTATGAACACACTGCAAGTCACTAACTGTATGTGTTAAGTGGGTGAATCGTATGGCATATGATTTATATCTCCACAGAGTGATAAATTACAAAAAAAAAGAATAAAATCACCAACCACTGTTGTTCAGTGTCATCAACTTGGTTCCGACTCAGAGTGACCCTATAGGGTTTCTGAGGAGCAGCTGGTGAGTTAGCAGTCCAGTGCTTATCGTCCTCCAGCGCCATATCAGGACACCACAGTGATATAAATACATGACCAAATAAATGTATATAGACAACTCTTCCTTACAAGACAATTCTAATGAATAAAAACTGAAAAGGGGCAAATGCACAGAGAAAAAGGGTTGAAAGAGTCCTGGTGGCAAAAAGAAGTTAAGTACTAGGCTGCTAACCGAAAGGGTGGTAGTTCGAATCCACTGGCTGCTCTATAGGAGAAAACCTGACATCTGTTCCCATAAAGATGTCAGACTTGAAAGCCTATGGGGTAGCCCAACTCTGACACACGGGGGAAAAGGGGTGGTGTTAAGAGTCAGAATGGACTTGATGGCAACTGGCCCTAAGGGCTGGGGGCAAAAGGGAATGAATGAACGTTATTGCCAAAGGGGCCCTGAGTTGCTGTTTAGGGCAATAGAAAACTTAGAAGAATACATATTGGCAATAGAAACACAACATGGTTAATGTAACTAATATCACTTTAAAATGGTGCTAATGACAAACTTTTTGTTAAACATATTTACCAGAATAATAAAGCCTATATATATCGAATTTATAACATCATATCATAGCTTGTATGAATGCTAAGTTGTTGTTAAGTACCATCTAATCGTTTCAGACTCGTGGCAATCATATATAGGGTTTCCAAGGCTGTACTTTACGGGAGCAGAAAGCCTCATCTTTCTCCTGTGGAACAGTTGGTGGGCTTGAGCTGTAGACCCCAAGGTCCAGTCCAGTGCTTATCCTATGGAGCCACCACACTACCTAATAAATCCTGGTGGTGGTGGTGTTGTTAGGTGCCACTGAGTCGGTACCGA